TGCCATGCTCTTCTGAATGTTGGTTTTGTCATCGTGCCCTCATTGTGAGGACTGTCCCGAGTCAGATCTTGTGGGTCCCGGAGGTTCAGAGGAGGATTCCCGCTCTGGCCGGTTCCCTTCCTGCCCTGCTCGTCAACACAGTGGGTACCAGGTCCGTCCCCAAGTTCTGCAGGACACTCAGTCTCAGAACTCCTAACACAGGCACAAAGCAAGATGGTGACATGGGGCACGGTCACCAGCACAGGCCCCGAATCCAAGCTGCCGGGGCTAGCGGGTCAGGGGGACTGGTCTGTATTTGGGGGGTGATCGGCCTAGAGAAGAGGGGTGGCAAGAGGTGACCAGCTCTGTTCTGATGGCAGCCTTGAGAGACCCCATGTCTGGGAAGCCCCAGCTCCGTGGGGTGGGACAGCCGGTCACCATGGAGCAATCCTGGAAGAGCCAGAGGTGACTCTAGGTGAAGTGGCTTCGGGAGACCGAGGCGCTCCAGGCCCTGCAGTGGCCGGTGGGGTGGGCGCTCCTGGAGGCCGGGAGGGGACTAGTCTTCAGGTTTGGAGCCGGGGACTGGCGAGGAGGTGGCTTCTGCGGTATGTGGACATGACAGAGGATGGCTTTGGGGGGGTGGGGAGAGGCTTGGGGACGACGGCAGCCTGTCCCTCTGCTAGCCAGCAGACTGCTCTCTCTGTCCTGCTCTGGTCTCTGTGAGGTCCCTTCCTACCTCGTGGCCCAGGTTGGACGTGAGGGGCACCCTGCTTTCCTGGGCTGGGAGTCAGATGCCAAGTTACATGGGACAGCACCCTCCTGGCCAGGGACCGAGATTCCAATCCTCGCCACCAGCGAGGCCTGGCCCATGGGGGTGGGACTTTCTCCAGATGAGGACTCAGCCACCTGCTGACTGGAGGTGTGTGGTGCTGTCACCTAGGTGGGTGACATGCCTTGTTCCCAGAGGGAAGGCTGGCCCAGAACACGCTGGCATCTTCATGATGGCAGAGGATGGACGGTGCCAGAGGATGGACGGTGGCAGAGAGGGTAAAGGAGTCCCAAACCCGTTCTCCCCTGCCCCATGTCCTCTATTTATAGCAAAGCACTTCTCCCAGCCTCCTTTGGCAGGAGCTTGGTCACGTGACTCAGTTGTAGCCAAGGGGATGTTAAAAGTAGCTAGGACAACTTTAGGGAGGCTCCTGGACAGACAGAGGCAGGCCCTTCTTCCCTCCTTCCTCCACCTTCCAGCTGCAGGAATAATGATGTGATGGGTGGCGCTTGAACAGCCCCCTTGGACTTTGAGGAGGTAGGAGAGACCCTGAGGATGCCCCAGTAGCTRGACAGCTTTAGCTCCGGATCCGACAGGAGAAGCCACCTGGCAGCCCAGACTGCTTGCCTCCGGACTTCTTTCCTGTGAAACAGAAATAAAGTCCTCTCCTATTTTGGCCCACTGTTTTCTTTTGACACTTACCCCTGCATCGAACCCAACTGAGAGCTGCCGTGGGGTGGAAGGGGTTGGGGAGGCGGTTTGAGGGGTCTGTTGACCAGGTCAGTGAGGAMGAGGGAACAGTGTGGGCCTGGCGTGGGCACGGGTGCAGAGGGGGCAGAGGCTCACCGGGAGGCACCTGGAGGCTGCCCTGCGGACCCTGCTCCTCTCCCCGGAGCTGGAGTGAAGAGCAGCTGGGACCGCAGCCAAGCGCCAGGACACGGGGGACTTCCGGTAGAKGCCAGGGCCGGGCAGGGTGCAGCCTGGCTCTGTCTCCAAACAAGGGGGCCCCGGATGGGCAAGGGGAAAAGTCACAGTCGGGAGGGGACACTGTGGACAGGGGAGCCGGGGACACAGCCCTGTGGCGGGGGTCCTCGGGGAGGGCCGGGTGCGCTGGCTGAGCTGGGGGCTCCTCTGTAGGGGAAGGTGCGGGCACTGGGTAGCAGCGGGGCTCTGTGGGGGGGCGGGGTGCACAGGGCACCGAGAAGCGGTGCCAGGGACRTGGGTTTGGGCACTGGGCGGGGGACAGGCCTGGGAGGAAGCACGTCCAGTGGTCCTGAGACACTGGTCTGGGCAGGCCTGGGTGGGCTCTGCAGGTCTCCGCCATCAGAGAAGCTTCTGGATTCTTCTTCAGGGTGCCTCAGAGAGAACCRCTCGTTCTCTGGGACAGACCCGGGGTGTCCACTGGCCCCACAGCCTCGGGAGGGAAGGAGCCCTTGCTGGGGGACGGGGAGAAGGGGGCAGGCGGTCCCAGCCCTGGACGTGCCTGGAGGAGCGGCCGAGCAGGACGGGSTGGCCCGAGTCGCGCTCTGCCGTGGAGGCAGGACGGGCCCTGCAGGACCCCGAGGCCAGGTTGAGCCTGGGTTTGTGGGGACAGTGGGCTGGGGACAGCCGCAAGGTGCTGGGGGCCGCGAGGGCCGCGAGATGGTCTGGTTTGGGAAAGACAGCTCTGGCCRCGAGTGGACCGTGTGGGGTCTGGGAGCGGAAACGGGAGGCCAGGAGCAGGCCTGGGGTCCTAGCTGGGGAGAGGTGAGGCTGGCATCCTGCAGCCCCCTCCTCACCTGCTCTACCCCCACTCGGGCCCTGGGGCGGTTGCAAGTCGGGACGAAGCCACTAACTGCCCAGACCAGGAGCCTCCCGCCCAGAGGCCAGGTTGGGGACGCCTCTGTCACTCCTCCGGTCTGGGTGGATGTCCTGCGGGAGCTGGTGAGGGTCTGTCCTCGGGTCCCTGCCACCCCCAGGGCTCCCTGGTCCTCAGCTGGCTGGGGGTGGGGATGTGGAGGGGAGGACAGAGCAGCAGGGGGTCAGTGTGGGTCTTCCTAGGCCTGGAGGTTGAATGATCCCTTCCTCYGTTGGCCAGACTCTGCCGCGGCCCCACCTCACCACAGGGGAGGCTGGGAAGGGAGGCTGGGGGCCACCAGGGGGAAGGGCACTTTGGGACATCGGGGTACCCCCCTGCCCTCTCCCTCTTTCCACTCTCTGCCTTTCTACCTGTCCCCACGGTCATGGTTTTACRCAGAGGATGCAGACACGGAGAAACACGTCTGTTGTCCACGCCAAGGGCAGCCCGGGTGGCCTTGCCACCTGAGGGGTCCTGGGCAGGGCCTCAGGGGAAGCAGGAGCCCCTGTCCCCCGCTCTCCTCCACAGATGAGGCCGCCCGGCTGCTGTGTCCCCGATGGGCAAGGGGCAGGTGAGTGGCCCGGCTCTGGCCCTGTGGAGCCCCGTCAGCCCTCCACATGGGGCCTGGCCTTGAACCCGTGCTGGGTGCTCAGTGAGCACTCGCTTAACGGATGAAGGAAGGAGGGAGGATGGAGAGGCAGCGTCCCCGGTGGACCTGGCCGGCCAGGCCGGGGCGATTTCTCCCAGCAAAGCTGTGCGGACAGTGCCGGGGCTGGGGTTTCTGGCTTTCTGTGTTGTTTTCTTTGTGTTTTAAAGTGTGCAGATGAAGCCACTGGACTGGCTAGTTCCAGGGGTGCCAAAGAGTCGATGAATCACAGCTTCCTTCCAATCTGTTCACCTGGCCTTCCTCCCTGGGAGACCCGAGGTCCTGGTTCCCTAGAAAACTTCCAGAAGTATTCTGTGTTTCATGAATCATGGCTGCGCGTCATGTTGTGATGGCCGTAAGCTTCTTAGTCAATCTTCTGTTGCTAGAAGCAAATACCACAGGCTGGGTAACTTATGGAGAYTAGAGGTCGATTTGGCTGACAGTTCCGGAGGCAGGGAAGTCCAGGAGCACAGYGCAGCGTCCGGTGACAGCCTTGTGCTGCCTGTCACAGGGAGACATCCCAAAGTGTGCTAGCTCAGGGCTCCTCCTCTTCTGATAAGGTCACTGGTGCCATCTTGGSCCCCCCCCATGACCTCGTCTCACCCTAATGACATCCCAAAGGTCCACCTCAAAGTGCCATGGGCATATGAATCGGGGGGCTACGTTTCCAGCGTGTGACTTTTGGGGCATTTACACCAAAGCGGGTTTTTCTTGCAAACCTTCCACGTGTCGCCACGTTTGGGGCTCCACACACACCTGGTCCCGTCCCYTTGGCACACCCAGAGGGACTGTGGTCCCTCGTTCCATCTCTCAGGCAAGGGCACTGAGCCCGGGGGGGGGGGGGCCAAGGCCACCAGCTGCTGGGCAGCCCGACTCCGCCCTCCTCCCGGCCCAGTTCTGGGGTTGGCGGGAGGGACGCCCCGGCTCCTCTCTCTGGGGTCTTCTGCCCGTTCCGCCCRCTGCGCAGACTGGAGGGTCTGCGGAGCTGCCCTGCCGACCTCGCCTCTCCCCTTCTCCAGGAGGCTGCAGCTTCCTGTGCAACCCGCGGGGGGCAGGGGCGTGAAGATCGGGAGAGAAGGGAAAGCAAGGTCCCGGGGACGGAACTGCAGGTCCCGGGGGCTGGTGACACTGCACACGAAGCAGACGGAGAGTTTTCATCATTTAAAAGAAATCCATGATCTGAACCACCCCTCCAWCTCCCAAAATGAGGAAAGGAAAGGGATTAGGAATGCTGGCTTCAGCAGAAGAGAGAGTTCTAGAATGTTCTGTAAGTGGCCATCAGAGGACCTGCCAAGGCCCCGTCTGCAATCACCTCTGAGGGCCTCGTGGGAGGCTAGGGGGCGGCGGAGGTCTCTGAGAGAGGGGGTGGGCAGCCGTGGGGGCCCCGGGAGGGCCGTGTTTGTGTGGGGCCTGGGGCCGTGTTTGTGTGGGGCCTGGGGCCGTGGGTGGGTCCTGTGACCGGATGAGGATGAGGCTCGGGGGGCCTGGGCGAGATGGGGGGGCAGGGCTGCCCCCGGGCTCCCGTGCACAGCGAGGCCCCTCCGGGAGTGTGCGATTGCACGCGTGTGAGTGTGCCGCCCCCAGCGTAGGAGGGAGATCTTATCACCCGGTGCCTGGGACTTTCAGGCTTTCTCACCATCCCCAGCTCCCCGCCTCCCACCGGCCTGGCCCCCATCCCCTGCACAGGAAGTGGGCTGGCCCTGGGGTTTCAGTCTCTGCGGGCCCAGCAGCCCTGCTACCTGGGCTGCCAGAGCCTGCGATGGCCACGGTCCCGGCAGCAGCGGGGACCCGAGGGAGCACAGCAGCACGGCCCCATGTCCCAGCCAGGTGAGTCCCTGGCCCTGTCCTGAGGGCACCCTGGGCAGCCCAGTGTCTCCCTGCCACCCCCTGCTGGTCACCCAGGGGCGCTGGGCGGGACGGTCCCTGGGAGGTGCCGCTGAGTCGGACTCCAGGGGTCGCCTGAACCTTGACCCCAACCTATCTGGGAACCCCCCCCCCCCCCGGGAACGGGTGGGCCCTGCTCTCCTGATGGAGAAGGAGCTGGTCCCCAGAGCCAGGCCACCTCCTTTCCAGTCCTCCTGGGAAGCCTGGGGCTGCTGTGGCCCGAGGGGCTTCCCTGGGCCCTGCGCGCTGGGCCTTCAACTCAGAGGGSCAGAGGTGGCCGTGGGAGGCTGGCCTGGGGGCCCAGAGCGGGGGCCAGTGTGTGGTGGGACAGGGCAGCCACCTTCTGGCCCTGGAAAGGGACCCAGACTAGAGAGGCACCCAGGACAAATGCTCCTTAGGAGGCTCGTGGGGTGAGGGGGCGAGGGTCCCCTTGGGGACCTGTCGTGAGGATGCGGTGCTGAGAGTCTCTGGGAGCTCCTGGCTGGATTTGTCCCTCACTTGGCGTGGGACTCTTGGGGTCAGTAGACATGGGCTGGGGCTGGGCTCTATCTCTGCTGCTGCTGGGGCTCTGGCTGCCCCACCCTTAGCTGGATTTGTCGCACCTTGTCACGGAGCAGATGGCTGAGAGGGGTCCCCTTCCTCCCCTACAGCCAGGATGCCCTCCCGCTGGCTGGGAGATGCGGAGTCGTGTGWGWGTGTGTGTGTGTGTGTGTGTGTGTGTCAGAGAGGACCAGGGAAGGTGGTCTGTGAGTTCAGAGCCAGGTGGGCCACATGCCCAGGTACCCGGCTCCTGTTCACTGTCCTGCTCCGGCCCACAGTCCCCACAGACCAGGGGCCCTCAGGCAGCGGCGGCTGGTTTCAGGCCCAGCCCCAGCCCCGTCCAGCTGGGCAAGAGGCTGGCCTGTGGCCGGCTTTCCCCACGTGGAAAGAAGAGCGGAGCTAGAACACCTCGGGGTGCTGAGGAGTAACTGCTGTGGCAGGATGGTGACAGTGACGGGAAGGGGAGCTGGTGCCAGCCCCCGCGGGCGCCCGCATCCTCACCATCTAGCTGGAAGCCAGGTGCCCGGGCTCTGAGCGTCAGCATTGGAACCAATCTGTGGGGCCAGGGGCCTCACCTCAAGCCTTGTGACGGGGACATGCAAGTCAAAGGCTGGGAGGGTCTCCAGTCCCAAGGGGCAGGCCGGCGCCTGTGGGCGGGCCCAGGAGGGAGAGGCTTAGACTCGGGTCCTGCCTGGGCGCGCTGGTCTGCAGCTGGGCCTCGCTGTGCTCCGAGCAGGTCCTCAGCCTTCCTGAGTCTCAGGGTCCTCCTGGCAGAATGAGGGACGCGGCCAGGCTCCCAGCCCTGAGCCCTGGGGTGGCTGGCCTCCTGGCCTTGGCCGAGCCCTCTCAGCGGCATTCCTGAGCGTTCTCCCGCCCAGTGCCAAGGCCTGTGGGGCCCTGACTTCCTGTGATCTTGCACCCTTTGTCCCGGGGTTCCTGTCCCAGATGCTCAGGGCGTGAGGTGGCCCTGAGGGCTGGAGCTGATCTGAGCAGCACCTTCAGCAAGGACCCCCTGCGCCCTGGCCCAGAGCCAGGCTGACGGGTGGACCTGGCGGGAGCCCCTCTGCTGGGCCCTGCCCTCTCTGGGGTCCCCACCCATGCCCTGAGCTACTGCAGGGAACAGGAAGATGCGCTCCCCTCTGGGCTGGGTCTGGGGGCAGGTCTGTGCAGTGGAGACAACGTGAGGGACCGGCCCTGGGGACACTGGGCTGTCCTGTCCGTGGCCTCAGGGTGCATCCGGGCCTGGAATGTAAGTGACGTGAGTCTCCTTATCTGGGGAGGGGGACGGTGAGGGCAGACGCCCTGGGCTGTGTGCGGGTGAGATGAGTCAGGGGCCTGGCGCGGGACAGAGCTGCGTGTGTCACAGTGAGAGCCAGAGGGGGGCAGAGAGGAGGGTGAATGGAGGTGACAGGGGAGTGGAGCCCGGGGCCTGAGGCTCCTGCTGCAGATGAGACCAGGCCAGGTCCCGGCTGGAAGGACGCCAGCTGACCTTCGGGGTGGAGAGGAGGAGTCAGGCGGGGACCTGGGCTGTCCTGTCCATGGGCTATGGATGGGTGGTGTGGGGACCCAGGAGAGGGGCCTGGGGACAGCTAAGACATCCAGTGGGAGGAGTGTGGGGTGAGCTGGGCCCTCCCTGGGCCTGGGGGGTCCAGGCGGAGGCTTGGGGGCGCTGACCAGGGGAAGACCCCTAGGAGGTGGGGCGGGGTTGATGGGAGATTCAGGGCAAAGGGGAAGGGGACACGGGAGGGAGCTGGGGACAAGGAGGAAGGGGCAGGAGAGCCCGGTGCCCTGAGGACTCGGACCAAAGATGGGAGGCTGGAGGGAGGCCAGGCCTCCCCGCACCCCTCACCACCCCTCGCCACCCCTCGCCACCCCTCGCCACCCCTCCTCTCCCCTCCCCTGCACTTGGGCTGCCAGACGCTCACCCAGGGGTCCCCCGGCCCCGACCCCTCTCTGTCTCCTTCTTGCGTCACTGGGCCTCAAGGGCAGGCGCCTGGGCAGGGCTCCTTCCAACCCCTGGGCGGGGGGATGGGGGTCTTGAGCTGCYAAGCAGCGTCCGGGCTGGGGGTCGGCCGCAGGGCTCCCAGGTGCAGTCTTGGAAGCTGGGGACAGGAGCTGTGACCTGGGTCCATGCCCATGAAAGCACTGGCCAGGGCCATGTGTAATGGCCACTCAGGGAAACCTGGTCTCTGCAGAGGCTGGGAGGGGGATTTCCCGCTCTCTGGGCAAAGCCAGGTGGCCCTGTCCTCCTGCGGGGCTTCAGCTGGGCAGTGGGCTCAGGGCACAATCAGGTCCTGGTGAGGGTCGGGGCAGCCCCCTGCCTCTTCCTTAAGGCCAAGTGGGGACAATAAAAGGGCCAGGATTGTGGGTGAAGGGAGGCCGCACCTGGAAGGTGCGTCCCTGGCCTCTGCCAGCCATGGGGTGACACTGTTGTCATGACCTCCTGTCCAGCTGCCCAGGGCACCGCAGCCACTTCAGAGCTGCGTCTTAAGATCCACGTTAGAAACCCACCTGGTCACCGGGGAGCGTCCTGCCGGCTGTGCCTGGCCCTCTGCCTCTGCTGCCCCAGCTGTGCGGCTGGACCCCCAACAGGGTGGAGGGCGTCCCCCTGCCCCAGCCTGCTCCTCGATGGCCCTGGAGGGGACGCGGGGTCTGTCCTGGAGACGGAGGGCTGACTCGGGCTGGGCTCTAGGGGGCCACCAGGCTGGACCCAGGAACACAGAACTGCTTTTGCAGGACCTTGGGGAAGGACAAGGATTCGCCTTCTAGAAGGATCCTCTCCTGCTCCCAGCACCACAGGGCAGGTCAACCTGGCCCTCGGGGGCTCTGGGGCACAGCTCCCAGCCCTGGGGGGCTGCTCTCTCTAACAGGACTCGCTGCTGTCAGATCTCGTCTTCAGTCCCCTCCGTGAAGGGCAAAGGGCAGGGGCAGGCCAGAGAGCCTCTGCAGACCCCTGGCCAGCAGGTCCACCTCTGTCCCGTGTTCCTTCACAGGTTCATTCAAAAACCTGAGTGTGTGTGTGTGTGTGTGTGTGTAGGCAGAAAACAGACAGGAGGACAATCGCTCCTTCCTACATGCGGGTTTGATTTCCATCATTTCAGCCACCCATGGTGGGAAAAGACTAAATAGAAAATTCCAGAAAGAAACAATTCAGAAGCTTTAACTTGCACACAGTTGTGAATAGCATGATAAACCTGCACGCTGTCCTTCCGTCTGTCCGAAGTCACCCCTTGTCCAGGGTTCCCATGAGGCCACAACTGGCTGGGTGGTCACTTAGTAGCTGTCTGGGTTATCACATTGACTGGGGACACATCACAGTGCGATGTCACAGCCTGGCTGCGTCTCCTCACCTAGGCACTGTGTCACCGCACAGCCTCTGAAGGGTGGGGACCGTGGTGCAAGGAGGAGAGAGGGGGGGGGAAGGGAGAGAGGGAGAGAGGAAGGGAGAGAGAGAGAGGAACCGAGTGAGCGATAGACAGAGAGAGCTCCCTCCTGTCTACAATGACTATTCAGTCAGATAATCTAAATAGTTGTGTTCACGATTCAAACACTTTTAAATTTAAAAAGGGTTAGGGACCTAGCTCAGGGTAGAGTGACCCTGGATTCAATCTCCAGTACAGTGCTAGAGAAAGAGGGGGAGAGAGGGA